TTTGATTTTTTCGCGGTAGAAATTATCTTTTAATCTCAGAGAAGCGGGTGCGGATTCCGGTTGACACGGCGAATTCTAGTACTGATGTGCTCCTTTTCTCGAGTACGAAACTGCGCGCATGCACCTTTTATGGGCTAGCGAACAGGTATTTCCGCGGTAGAAACTTCTTTTTAAATTTAAATATTATTATTAAGAACATAGAAATCTTTGGATTTGCTCCATTGATATTGAATAAAGAAAGTTTAATCTAATATTTAATGAATGGTTTTCCGAATTCTACTCACTGATCTCAAAAATAAATGGATAAACAATCGTACGGCTTGATTGGCTAAATTTGTGCGAAAATTTGGAGTCAATATACTACGAACAGTTGTGCAACGTAACAGCCTAACGCCTGCGCAGTGTTTATCTTTCGAACAACTGTTGTAAATTTTGAAATATCATTCATTTTCATTGGCTATATTTTGCGCACGCACAGTACATGTATCTACTGCGCACGCTCACAGCTGTCCCAGTTGATTACATTCTGACCTCGTAAATTAGCAACATTAGAAGCGTTCTTTCTTTACCCATTTATTTAATAGACCTATCTCGCATAATTAGAAAAAGAGAGCTTAATTGTTATAAATACAAGTTAGAAAGCAATAAAAGATGACATGCGCGCGCAACTCGTAGGCTGCAGTGTAGCCAGATTGTATTGTTGCAGAGCAAATATAGACAATACAAATCGAACATTATAACATTAAAGAAGTGATATAGTGTCAAGTGTTTTACAACGCTTTAAATCAGACCAAAGAAGAGCTTTAAAGTGGATGAACATCGTTTGCACTTTTATTTTGATAAATGTTTCATCCGGCAACATCGCTCAATGAAATTGCAAAGAAATATGTCAAGTATAATCTAACATAACCTTAAACGAAACTGCGGTGAGTTCAAGTAATATGTAAAGTATTATTTTACTCTTTGTCAAATTACACGTTACAAAAAAAGAAGGAACGATTCATTCTGAACTGGCCCCTGAATAAGAATATGACGCAAGCCTGTCACAAACTTGCTTCTCATTGAACGCTCACCTGCAGCCTACAAGCGACGCGCGCAGTCCAGGTAATAGGAGATCGGTCTATTGCCTTTTCAAAGTTTGTTCGATCTGTACCACACTTTCTGGATTAGTTAGGTATGCGTAGGTAGGAGCATTTTTAAATTTTATGTTCTATAACAAAAGTCATGAAGATTTGAGATAAACTGAAATAGTGAATATCAAATTAAGTAGTGAAGATATAAGGATAGGGCATGTAAAAACCTAAAATCAATATATCCTCTTTATACATTTCAAAGGATCGTCTAACTCGCTTAAATCCGAATCACATCTCTGATTCCAGTATCAGCTACAAACCTAATGGTTAGAAAACAAAGCTTTGCATCCCCTAATCCTTAAATTGCTTGCAAAAAGCGCCTGTACAAACTAGGGCTGTATATACAACATACAAAAGGAGGCATTTTCGTTTTTCAAAAAGAAGTTATTTTACGCTGTACGCGTTCCTTTACCTTGGGCTTATTATAGGTAAATTATCTTTCTTTATGCTTTACGTGCTGAAAAAATAGGCTCTCAGAAAAAGAGCATTATACAAAAGCAAACAAAATCTATTTTTTTTCTTCATTATATTATTTATTTTATTTTTTTCGAAGAGAGCGGCTCTATTTTAAATCATAAATTCTGTTATTTTTATGAAAGAGAAAAAGCTTTTCTACGTCAACGAGTTTTGGGCATCATTAAAATAACAATGGATCAGAAGACGATCGTTCTAAGGCATCTTACGATATTTTCCTTTGTAATCAAAGGAGTTTTTGTTTGGGAACTGAACAAAAATATTATTTTTTTTTACTATAAAGCTATATTTTGCTAGAATCCTCGTTAAATATTTTATTGTTCAAGTGAAACACATTATATTCTTTGTTAACCAGCTACAATATTACTATGTATAGTTTTTAGTTAGTAATTTGCATTGCGAAATAAGCCTCAGTTAACTTTGCATATTATGGTAGATGCGATTATATTATGCTTAAAATAGCTATAGTTGTGCTTATTTCAAAACTTATGTTAAACAACTATTTGTTAGCCAGATATAAAACAGTAATTTATGGGAGATGTTAAAGCTCCTATTTAAATATTAAATAGAATTGTGTCTTCTATTCATCCTTCGCTATTTTCTAAGTCTATAAATTTAACTTGAAGTCTAAAATCTTTATTTCAAGCGACCCAAAACGAAGTTTTCTGCGATCATTTCTGAAAATGATGAATAGCCTTTGCTATAAGATAAAGTAACAGCATTAAACGAACGAACAATTCATTTTTAATGAACCGACACACACGACTTGTTTTCTGATAAATGAGAGGGTTTTTTGTGTCTCCCGTTTTTTTTGGGTTTTTGAGTTTAGAATGTAATTGACTTTTCACTCATTTCTATTTACAAATTTTTATCCCAGCATAAAAATTCTTAAACATTTGCTCCGGGCAAACTGCAACTAAAGCAAGGATGCTCGGCACACTTAAAGCGACTGACAAGGCGTCGAGACGCTTATGATTTATGTATAATCTTCTTGAAAGCCAACTACCAAAGGCACCTTGGGAGCGTACAAACAATTTTTTACAATTCAACGAACAAAGTAGTTTGTAAATAGCCGTTAGGCAAGAATACCATTTTTTCTTTGATGATGAACACAAATAAAATTACTAGAATGAATTTTGAGAAATCAGAGGACACAATAGATATTTATGATTTAAAGAACATGTTTAAATATATGTTCACTTCAGTCTTCAAATTACTATGGAAGGTTTATACCCTTGAGTAGGAACTTTGCACAGATACCTTGAAAATGTTTGTCCGCCAATTTGTTTTTGGAGGTACCTTTTGTTGCCTTTCATGATCTTTCTTCCTATGATTGAAGTCAACGAATAATTATCTCATGCTTCGAGATTTTTCTCAAAATTTCATCTTTATAAATAACGACTTTATAAATAACGTCATTGAACCTTGGAAAAATAACGAGGCATACCATCATTAACCAGAACTTTTTACCTATTTGAATCTACTTGCCTCGATAAAGTCAGACAATGAAATAATATCCCTTACACAAATTGAAATCGTCTTTTCTTGAGATTAACTACTAACAAAGTTCGTCCAACTTGTTACCCATTGATTTTATGCAACTTTGTGACACGCCCTCGGACAAACTGGTATTTAAGTTGACTAGGATTAGAAGCTAAGGGATCAACAAATTTACTACCAACAAGATTTAGGACACGATCTTAACTAGCCTGCGCCCAAACTGGAGCCTGTTTACACTTAATCCGGTAATTTGATCAACCTTAAGGCAATTGAAGGGTCCCATTAAATTACTAGACCAAAACGGTTTGAATTTTATTTCAATTGAAACCCAAATTGTGGTACAATTCGATAACTTATCGTTCACTCCATTAAGTTAACTAACAAATTAAACTCTTAATTGGTTTCTCCAGTTTCAGTTAGGTAAGATATAGATATCTCCAAGTCTGCGGTTAATTTGTCATTCTAATTGCGCTCAAGTTGGATTCAGATTAAGAAATAAGTTGTTTATTGAGTAGACATTAGATTTTTTTGGACTAATAAACTATTGCGATAAGGTTTAGATAAGAATCAGATTTTGATGTGAAACATTTTCCAAGACAAAGTTCATAAGGCGCTGGCAATATATCACGGACTTTCAGTTTCTATAATAAGAATAATCAAGTTTCATGTTGTTCGCAAACCAAATTTAAAACATGAATTTTATGAAGAAGATTGTTCACTACACATTAAATTCCAGTGCCAAATCCTTTTAATTTGTGGTTATTTTCGAAATAACCACTAGCTGGGATCCTACATGTGTTTAATCTCGTTAGAAGAGCTTTACTTGATCCGCTTTAAACTGATTTCTATTTGGTTTGTCCGTTGAAAATCCTTTAACTTGTAACAAGAAATATTTCAACTTAAGAAATTTAGAATTTAAATTCGTCTTGCAGAAGCGAGCAGCCAAAAGGAAACATGCCGTTCCAGAAAACTAATAGCTTTCATGTCGAGGAAGAGGTATAGGCACGCCGAAAATTTCTCTTTCTAGGCAAATTTATGGGATATTTTACTGGTTTCTTGACATTTTGCCCCACTACGGAATAGTTTTCCCTCACTTACTAGACATCAGGTAGAAGGAGCACTTTATTAATAAAGACGTCTGACAATACACTTTGTCTTTACACCGGAGGTAGGAATTTTGTTGTTGAAGTGTTATGGTTTTACAGTATTAGCATAAAGTAAATTTATTTAATAACAAAATTGAACAAAGTAGACATCATCATGTAATAATGAAGAGAAATCATTGATTTTACCAATTCAAGTCACACCACACACAAATCGTAATTTCAATTTCAATTTTTCGAAACTATTACATATGTAATTTGATTCACATAATCCTATGATGTATGACAGACACTGAATATTCAATTCAATGGGCTTAACCGCAATGTTTGGATTTTTTTTTTGATGACATCAACACTTTTGAACAGGAAACAGAATTTCTGTATTCGATTTATCAACCATTAAATGCCCCAATGACTAATCATTGATGGACACTTTCAGTCACAATTATTGCTCCGTCAATTTGATAAATGACCAACCATGATATCTCCTATGTTAATTGAAAAGATGCATTAGTAACTGACTTGATTTTATTATACAAAAGGGCTGGGTATCGTGGAACATTCTCTCATAGAGAAGCTACCCTCAATAAATTATTGAAAGCTAATCAATAGTTAACCTCTGTCTATTCCTCTAAGGATTAAAGTCAAATGCCCTTTTGTGTCAATAAGATTCCAGTTATATGTTTGTTCGCACGACCACTTCGGCTGTGGAAGAGCGATTATTTATTTCGATAAAATAGTGTACCTAATAATTGCAAAAATGTCATAGGTTAAATGAGAAATACTTTACCTTAATACTGTATGGGGTATTCTAGATCCTACATAAATAGTTTGTACACTGAACATCCAAAAATCTGAACTAATTGTCAAGTAGTTTGTATATTACACTATTTTATCACAAGAAGTGAACAAGAATTAACTTTAAGTTCTAGAATAAAAACACTGCATAAAGTTTATAACTGTGAACAAGTCCTTAATATATGAGACACAAAAATGTCCAAAACATTCGTTGTTTTGTAATCCCTAAAAACAACTTCATCCATAAGTCCCGCCGGCTATCATTGGCGCATAATTTACTCCAAAGTCTCTTAAGCTTAATAGTCAAGAAACATTCACTCAAATAATTTCTTCAGATAAAAATGAGTGCTTTCCTTGAAAGCTGCCGCTTAATTTCGCCTGTCAGACGCTAAATTAATCCGCAACCTTGAGCCGACAGATCATCGAGATGCTGAGATGCTGGATAAAATCGGGAGCGAGCGCGAATAACCACCCGGAAAGCACCATTCGCGACTGCAGCATCGGCTCCGCCCGGATCGCGGGATCTCGTCCACCGGAGTAATCCGGGCGATAGCGAAAAGGTCCGAATACTTTGTGCACCGGAGCCTAGAATACGTTTGCGGCGGCCGTGAAAGCGGATACTGGAGGTCAGGATGCTCGATAAATGGATGCTGCTTTGAAGGGTTGGTTTATTTTTCAGTGAGACTTAAGTAGGTATATCTGTTGAACAACAGTTTATACTGCTATTATGAGAGTATCAAACCAATTTTCTTTTTCAGGGCAATTGACTACTCCTTGATAGGTAGGCATTACGTTATCATTCTAGTTTCTTGGTAATCGCCTTCTCTCATCAACGTCATTTCCAGATTATTAATTTTTTTCATATGGTTGAGTTTCTCCATTTTGTTTATATTTATTGTAATTATTTATATGTTCTTGTTCTATTATTTGTCTGTTCAGTTTGCTACTGTAGAGGAACTCTATATAAACCAATGAGCCGATACAGAAAAGCGTTGAAACAATACTAGGGATAAGTAGAATCACTGAGCAATGCCCTTTGGCGAGTGTTAATTGAATGAATATCCGAATCAGACCACTGACCAGTTTACTATACAATTATTCCGGCTGTTTGCAGAAAACATGAGTACTAAGAGTCAAAGCTGTATGGTTTTTTAAATTAAGCCAACAAGAAAGATTAAAATCTTTAAGATAGTTTTATCTTTATGTCTTTCTGAAGCAAGCCAACAAATTAGAATGCAATGGAATATAATAGAGGTGTATCTTCTAATCAAATCATAGAGGCCAACTTTAAAAGATATATTCAAAACAAAACAATACAAATAAATAACAACAAATATCACAACGTTATTCACATATCAAACTTGTAACAGGATAGCAACGCCAGCAAGCGTCCATTTCAAAGCTTTCTCTTTGGTTTTCAAGTTGAACGTCCATACAAAAGTGGGTCCTCGCATCCTGGTTTTATATACAGGACAATCATACATGTTACGCAGATCTTGTTTGTCTTGCGTAATGGCTTTTATGAAAATGACTGGAACTACGGGGAAGAGTTCTTTAAGTTTAGAATCTGCGATACTGTTCAATTGAAAATCCCATCTAAAAAATATAATAATAGTAAAATACTGAATTTATATTAATAATCATTCTTGCCTGGCTCCTTCCATAAATAATCCATGGACGTAAGAGCCTTCTCTAGGCGCGGCATTGAAGTCTTCTTTTTGTTTTTTAGTTACATCTGTCATTAAACACATTTTATCCAATGGCCATTCGTTTTTTCTTGCAGTCTGTTGCATAATGGCAGTTAAAAATGATTGAGGATTAAAAAATCCACCCAGCCACACAGTAGCTGGCATTGAAAAATCTGTAGTCCAACCTTCAAGCTCTTTAATTCTGAAATAATTCACTAATTATCATTACCCAAGTCCTCCTAGCCTACCTTAAGCTTAAATCTCCGACCCATTGTCCAAGTGGTAACAAACTAGGATAAGCTTTCACTGACCAAGACTCAGGAACAGCGTCCATAAAAAGCGACTCTTCTAGTTCCTCCATGTCGGATGTGATCGTTAGTTCGCCTTTGAGTCCGAGATCCAATTCGTGCAACGAACGTTTCATTTCTCTAGTTAACGTGTTCATTCTTTCGCACTCTTGAAAAGCTACAATTATGTAGGGAGTACGTTCTTCTACTTTAGCCATCATCTCTTGTACAGGAAATTCTTCTGGTAATTTGTCGTAGATTTCTTCTAGAGTATTGTGAACCTGCGTAGAAGAAAATGAAATTGAAACAGTTCTTTACTAACAATGACAATGAATGAGTGAATGAAAGTTCTCACCTTTTCTTCTCTGGACATTCCTCCACCGGCAGCAGCACTGGAATCGCGCGGTTGCATTTCAAAGATTGTTCTGAACATATTTTCGGAAGTACTAGCCAAAAACATAATTTCTGCATTCGGATGTAAACCGTATAAATAGGGACTCTCAGGCGGAAGCCTGTCATCAATATAACGATGATATCCTATGTAGTCGGTGTTTGGCGGAGCAAAAAAACCTGGAGCGAATTGAAGGTCTCCTTCAATCAATTCTGGCTGCATGTAGTTGAGTAAATAGCTTCGGCACAGTCTTCTGTCCCAATCGTCAGTTATGTGGCCGCCGTACATTATTTCTCCGAATAGATAGCGCAAGTCTTCCCACGGGACCTTTATTAGTAAAATATTTTTTTTTTACTTGCTAGTGTATTGGTAAACTATATCAAGATTTTATTGTCTTAATTAAACTGCTGGACAATTATTGCTTTCGAGAAAGGAAATTTTCGCTTAACTTTCAAGCTCAATATTTTTTCACGGGCTGACAGATTGACTTTTTGTGGAAAAAATTGCTATATGGAAACCAGAGGTCGATATTTTGGTTCCAAAAATATGAAGCTCGAAAGCTAGGCGAAATGTTCCTTGTGCTCGGAAGCAATTGTGCAGCAGTTTATTTTCCAGATTAAGGCTCAAAATTTGCACAGATGAGTTGTGCAAACTTTAACTCTCTATCTCGATGATCTTTTTTGCTTTAGAAATGTGGCCTTTTCAAAAGCTGATTCGTTGTTTCGAGAAAAATAAATTAAATGGAGTGAGTAGTCTATAATGTCACCACCCTGTACAGGGTGAGTCACCATATTTTGACACCCACCTGCAACCGTTATTACAGGTGATAGGTGAAAGGTGTAAATACAAAAGTTGTAGCATTTTATCTGAACCGCCAGAATTTTTAATTAGATTGAAGAAATGAGCAAAGCAAAGTGAAAAAACAATCGATGTTCACTTTTTTTAAATGGAATGCCCTTTATTTTCTTTCAAATTCTTAAAGCTCTCGTTTTCCTGATTCGGATTAAAAATATGTTAATGTTTCTTCCAATAGTTTTGGAAATATCTGGAATTTAGTTATTCAAAGACCTGTCACCTGTCACAGAACATTCTGATACGTGAATAGGTCTTAGAATAACTAAACTCCAGATATTTCCAAAACTATTGAAAGAAACATTAATATGTTAATCTACGTCGGTGTCATTATGACACATTTAGCATTGTCATTTGAATGTCATTAGGTCCTTTATAATAGCACTAGTGCGTTTAAGAATTCATAATAATACCCAAATTTTGAAATGAAAAATATACAAAAAGAAAGTTAGTTGCCAGAAGAACCTTTTCAATAATGCTGTCTCTATATTGGAAGAGACACTTTCGAACTCAGAATCACCAATAATAATATTATTTTCCACTATAAAATTGAATTTATGGCACAAAAATGGACTCCAATATTGAAGCTGCCAAAGTCAAAATTCTAAAAACCAACAAGCAGGTTCTCGACTAGTACGGGCACCTGCTAAATTTCAAATTTTAATTTGAAAAGTTTTTGCTATTTCAAGGCAAATCAAATCTATTTGGACTATTGTAGATTAAATTTTGAATGATACACGTTCGATATGAACTTTATTAATGAAACTTGTGTAACTAAACCACTCGGCTAACGCCTCGTGGTTTAACGTTACACGCGTTTCATTATGACGTTTATATCGAACTTGTGTCATTAATAACTATAATGTGTCTCTGTGTGCGTGACAGAAATCTTGGGTTCGTTTATTCCAAAATCAAAGACCAATTAACACAACAATGATTTATTCCACGTTACTACAAACTCTGACACTAATTACTTCACTAAGTAACTAAAATAACTTTTCTCTTTACAACTTTTACAATAATCACTATCTAAAACGTATCACAGCCAATCCTAAACTTAAAAACTACTAGCTAATACCGGCCTTTATACATCCGTAATTCATTCTTGTATAATCCGGAATAAACGCGATAACCTCTTTGCCCGAATAAAGCAGTCTTTTTTGGAATTTTAGGCATGGATTCTGTATACCATGGCGAAAGCGCATCGCGACATTGTCCTCCTCCTAAGGTTGATCGTCCCGATCAACTTCACGCCCATGATATTTCGTCAATCTGTCCAGATGTACATCTTACTCTTGGGGTTGCGCTGAACTCGATAAACCAAATTATTGCTCCTCTTGACTATTCTATAGGGTCCTTCCCATGCTGAAGACAATTTCGGCGATACTCCTTTCTTTCCTATTGGATTATGCAGCCACACTAGATCCCCTTCTTGAAATCTGGCTGAATTGGCTCTCAGGTCGTATCTGGTCTTCATTCGGTCACTGGCCAGCTGAATATGCTCCCGAGCAAAATCATGTATTCCCAGAAGTCGTGCCCTTACCTCATCGGCATAATCTCGAATTTCTTTTTGTTCTTCTTCAGGTATTCCAAACATCAGATCGCAAGGTAACCTGAGTTCCTGTCCAAAAACGATTCTAGCTGGACTTTCACCTGTTGGACCATTAAAAATAGAGGCAAGTATTTGTCCCAATTCGCTGGTTCTTTGCGATCACTTTTGTCAGTGTTCCTCTATGATCTTATTAAATCGTTCTATCATGCCATCAGACTATGGATGTAAAGGTGTCCTTGTCTTACGAATGCCTATGATTTCACAATTTTTCTTAAAGATAGCAGATTCGAAGTTTCGTCCCTGATCTGAATGCAACTCTAGTGGCACACCATGACGATTGGAAACTTCGTCCACTAACACCTGAGCAATAATGATGGCTACAGGATTTGTAAAATTTTCCTTTAAAAAAATCCATAATTCGGTGTAAAAATTGCAAAAAATTGAATTTTGTAGCTTCGAATTCACTTTACAAAATACACTCCGGCCTTATGTGATATTCATAAAGTGCATTTATGTGGTGTATGTGTTGTAATTTCTGAAAGGAAGACGTCCTGTTCTAGCCCACAAAACAAGTAAAATACCGATTTGTTGAAGTAGGAGAAATAATGGTTAACGTATTGAATTTTTGAGCTTCTGGACCAGCCTAAATGGAAGATTCGTCGTCGACGATGGGCCAAAACGAAGGCCAGATGGGCTCGCAAGCCGCCTCGTCATTAAATAACAAACAGAACAAGGATTGCCAGCAAAAGGACTACAGGCATACTACATTTTATCCAGCACAAATGGGCAAGAATAGCCTTTCTTCAAGGAGAACGCAAACGTCAAGAGAACCTCAAAAATTACCTAGTGCGTCGAATTAAGATGTTCGAATACGCCCTCAAGCAAGAAAGGGCGAAATTTCACAAAATGAAATATAGTACTGAGTACAGCAGGGCGACATGAATCCGCCTGTTATGGATGAATAGTGGTGAATCTCAGCTCGATCCTGATCAGAGCTACTTACCAGTTGGTAATTCTATTTTGAAGAATGGTAGAAAATTGCTGCGACAGTACTTATACGAAATTGGTTATACTGATAGAATAATAGATGTTAGATCAACCAGAGTCCGAGCACTTTTAGGATTAAATAACAACCACCCTGATCAAGAGGAAAGTTATAATGATGGATCTGTGAATGGAAATGAGTCGATTAAGAGAGTTAGCAAAACTCAGGGAAGAACACCGGCCAAAAAACCTCAACCAGGCTCTCTATCCACTGCTCTAACTGCTGGCCGCTGTTATGGCTAATTTGGATTTCCTGTCAAATACTGATCTTGACATGGATGACGATGAAGATATGAGCTATGATGGAAAAATGGATCATAGTGTTGAAATGGAGGATGAAGTCGAACCAAATAAAAAAGAATGCGAAGATGTCGACGCCTTAGCATTGGAAGTTTTTAATGAATTAAACAGGCTTTCATAGGTTGAGAAAAAAAAAAAAAAAAAAACAGAAACGAAAAATGCAGCCCGCCCTCCTGATTGGGATAAATCGCAAGTTCCCAAACGGCCAATAGGCATCTGTGATGAAGATAACATAGACGCGGCTCTGTGTTTTGGGCTGACCATCAATAATGACGCCGGGAGCACTTATGACATTGCAAGCAGTAAAGAGGCATTTCGTAAAACGTGGAATGCCAAATACACATTGAGAAGTCATTTTGATGGGGTTAGAGCATTTGGCTTTCATCCCACTGAACCAGTTCTATTAACGGCTAGTGAGGATCATGCTTTAAAATTATGGAATTTGCAAAAAACCATGCCTGCAAAGAAGAGCACTAGTTTAGATGTAGAACCTTTATACACCTTCCGGATGCATGCTGGTCCAGTACTGTCTCTAGCAATGTCTGGGAGTGGTGAACACTGTTACTCTGGCGGTTTAGATCGCCTCATTAACTGTTAGAATACTCCAAATTCGAACATAGATCCGTATGACCTTTTCGAACCAGTAGTTTTAAACACAACGTTGCACGGGCATTCTGATACAGTGTGGGGCTTGTCAGTTTTGAATCCCAAACAGCAGCTGGTCTCCTGTTCTTCGGATGGTACTGTCAAACTCTGGTCGCCCCATAATAAAGTCCAGTGACTGAATACATTTATCTCAGAACAGGATGGTGCTCCTTCCAGCGTCATCACATTGCGTCATTTTCGATAGTGAAACTGGCCAGTGGCCAACCAGTTTTGCGCTTGGAGTCCACTAGCCAGGATAGCGTCAATTTGAGTGCGAAAAAGATCTATATAATTGTTTGTCATCCAAGATTATCGCTCACCATCACAGCTCACGAGAATTTTGGGATAATCATACGGACAAATGGTTCATTCAATGGTAGCCCATTTGGATGCTGTGACTAGTTTGGCTCTGGATCCTAATTGATTCTATCTAGTTTCAGGGTCCCACGAATGGTCAATAAGATTATGGCACCTATACAACAAAACGTGCGTTCAAGAAATAACGGCTCATCGCAAAAAAATCGACGAGAGCATTTTAGATGTAGCTTTTAATTCATCTCGACCTTACGTAGCCAGCGAAGGTGCTGACGCTTTAGCCAAAGTTTTCGTTTAAGGAATAGGAAACAAATTTGTTTATATATTTCAATAACTGGCGGAGATGACAGGCAGAAGGGTAAATGATAAAAGTGGTGGAAGAATAGTGTTTTCTTGCAATAAGGGCAAATTTTATGGAAAAGCGGATATCGCAAACTTAGAGCTCAGGTTTAAGGCAATAGATAGTTAAAAAATTGTTGTCTCTCCCCTACTCACGATTTTTTTGACCATTCAATCCAATGACGTCACAAAAGTCTTACAATAGGCATCTATGAAAGTTTTTACCACAACATTTTTACCATGACTATTTCCCTCCTGTCAATTTTGATATTGTAGAAATAACGTGGTTTGAATCACCTAATATGTTTCAACGTGACATTTCATAGCTATTCAATGGCTTTTCCAGTCTGCCAACTAACTACTTAGGAAAGGAGGACCCGGTATTCAACTTTATTAATTTAATTGCCGATTCGATCGGATGTTTATTGCAATTCAGCAATAAATTCATATAAATAGTGGGCCAAGTCGAGCAACAGACAGACTTGAACCAGTGTTGGTACCGCCACTCTGAGAACACCCCTCTGGAATCAAGTCTCCCCAGTGCAAGTACCGCCACCCTGGGAAAGCCCCTCTAGATGAGGATCAGTTAAACGACGATTAGCATTCAACTAGCATTAAACCGACATTCCTTCCTAAGTAGCGTGAAACGTGTGGCCCTTTCCACGGAAGAGCATGCCTGGAGGATTCATGACGCAATGACTTCTTAGCAAATATACACTTTTTTATATAAAACTGAGCGAGTTTCTCTCCATCTATCCACCGTACACCCGTCGTCACAGAGAGGTTGTGACATTTGGTAGAGGTGCCGTCTCGAACCCGACGCCCAAGAACCGACGCCGTTAGGCGCCTTTAAAGCAAGCCAACGCCCACACCACGTCACGACCCGGTTACGTCGACAAGGGAGAAATTCACGACACCGTGGCAAAGGCGAAAAGATTAGACAAAAGGCACTCTTGAAAAGTCATAGCAGTAGAAAATATACGAAAAAGGCAAGGAAAAGATAAGGGACGTTTTGACGAACGACATAGAGAATTAGATTTCGTAGTTGAAGACAACGTTAAGATGTTCATACCAATTAGAAAGGTTGGAAGAAGCGAAAAGTTACTGTTAAGATGGTTTGGACCATACAACTTAATTAGAAAAATAGGAGAAGTGAATTACAAGGTAGAAAGGATAGGGTCCACGTGAGTAGGATGTTACCCTACAACGATCCATGGACAGAAGCTGCGCCTATTGAAGAAAAGGTAGAGGAGGAAGATACAGCTGAAAACGCAGAATCTGAGGTTGATGGACAAACAGAGGATGAAGACGACGAAGAAAAAATTGAAGAGGAAAATGAAAGCAGTGAAGCAAGAAACGAGGTACAGATAAAACATAAGCAAAACTATGAAGCAGGGAAATAGGAGGTAAAGATAGAATAAAAAATAGAGTAAGACAATAAATAGAGTATACAAGGAGGGATGGAGAGGATATATCGTTCCTCTCAATATAAGAGGAAATTAATGGATGACCTTATAATTCTGAGGGAAGATAGAGAATATGAAATACTTTTAAAAAAAAAGAATCAAAACACTCTTTCCGACGGAAGGGCTGGCCATTCCCTCCGTAGAAGCCGCCGAAGGAATCTTAGCGAGCTACAAAAAATATTTTTTGCATGTATTCACAAAACTTCAACCACGGACGGACATAGCAAAGCCGAAACCAGAACTGGAAGGATAACTGGTATCTTATGATAACTCTGAACTAAGTAGAAGCTCATGTCTGTATCAATAAACAGAATAAAGGTCGATTTATACATAGCAGGGACGTGACAGTGCCGTGACCGGCACGTGATTTCACCGGCCATAAACTCACAGTGATTTCTATTCATATTGGTCAGTGTCTCATCAGTGCCGTGGCAGTATAGTTTATATCCAAATGGAAATATTTTCAGATAAAGAACTTTTGGAGATCGCACTGGTTTTGGACGATTGGACGAGGAAATGAAAGAACAAGTAGAATAACAGGTAGAAAAACGACACTGGGTCTATCCTGCATGGAAAAAGAGAGGTACAGAAGGGGAATTTTATAACATTATACAATGAACTAGTAGACGATGCAGCAAAATTTTTTGAATACTTTAGGATGTCAGAAAATTCGTTCAACCTAGTGTTGTGCAAGATAGAAGTTCATTTGAAAAAGCATGACACCCTCCAGATAGCATTCTTGAAATCAGATTCCATCTATTTTGAGTTGCACAGGTCATACAAAACGAGATAACCACGGACTAACTCAATTTGTATGGCCGTGAAAATCCAAAAATATCGTCAGGAACTAATATAACGATCACATCACGTTACGGTGCCGGTGATAGCACGCCAAAACCATGAATATGCAAAATTGACCATTTTTACCTAAGTGAAACATCAAGCTCATTAGTAGTCATATTTGCCATGCCAAACTCAAGAATGTGTTTGCGCACCATAATTGGCCAAAACGTCAATATTTCAATTCACACAAAGCCTGATTTTTCCCTATCATTACAAACTTTAAAAGCAATTATCTCAAAACTATAATTTCGCACATTTATGGTTCTGGTATGGGACCAACGACCACTGTTTACACTGTCACGGTCGCGCGTCGGGCAGATGGGAATAGGTATAGTATTTTTAATACCCATTTAGAATAACCCCATCCTTATTTATCAATCACGAATCAGATGAAACAAAAAATTACCAACAAAAACGAACGTCGATTGCTAATACGTCAATTTCATGTCCAAATAGCAAATTCCTAACCTAATTTTATTTGTGTGTTCAAGAAGCGACATACGTGAAGTCACTAGAACGACACTAGACTTCGCCGGTGAAATCACGTGCCGGTTACGGCACTGTCACGTCACTGATATGTGTGAATCGACCTTAACAGTCCAGGAACCAGGCAACGACACTTTAGACCGTGGGATCGTACACCCCACAATCCAGCTGACTCACCAGGAAGTACTTGGAACCAGAACCAATCCACTTAAGAGACAGAATACAGTGTAGTAACCTGAATAATAATGCACCCTAACCCATCCCACCATAAAAAACTTTTGGTATTTTTAATTTTTAATTTTTTACTATAACTACTCGATATTTGGATTATTTTGTCAATTGATAGTTTATGAAAATTTAAGAGAATGTGAAATCTATTTTTCTCTAAAATTAACCGTTTAGGTTTTACAGCCTGTGAAAGTTGCAAAAAGTCAATTTTTAACTGTCATTTCTAAAACAGTTGAACTTAGGTATAGGGTACATCACATGAAATCTGCTCAAAATTTAACGTAAAATCCAAATATGCGATCACATACAGGGTGCCTCATTTAAAATAAGCAGTTGACGTCCGCTTCCGGTATGACCGGAAGAGTCATTATCTTGAAAATATTTCAGCCGGGTTGCCCCTATTGACATTAGTATACTGTGAAATTTTTAAAAACTTTTTGCATACAGTTTTCCCGGTGGGGTATATCCGTAATCTATTCTTGTATAATCCAGAATAAACGCGATAGTCTCTTTGCCCGAATAGAGCAGTCTTTCCTGGGGTTGTACTTCGAGTACATTTCGTACACGAAATTCGACTGATAGCAATGTAAATTAAATAGGGAGCATTCGAAATCGTATCAAATTTCCTATGCGAGAATATTCGAAAATACGATCTCTGGAATTTTAGGCATAGATTCTGTATACCATGGCGAAAGCGCATCGCGACAATATTATCGAATCAGAAAAACGAGAACTTATAAATAAAGTGCATTCCATTCAGAAAAAAGTGACCATTGACATTGGCCGCGTTCACCAGATACAAACGTTGGTAAACGGTTTGCGATTGTTCTGCTGAGCGCTACGTTGAATTTATGTTGAAACCAAACATGTTCTGCAAACGGTCGCCATTTTTGCAAGCATGACCTGTCATTTAGAGGGTGACGTTCTATCATTGAAAAGTTGAATCGTTCAGCAGAACCAAGAGTTTACCCAACGTATTCTGTTGGTATTTGTAAACAGTTCACAATCCGTTTTGGTTCTGGTGAACGTAGCCATATTTTTGTACTTTGTGTTGCTCATTTGCTCAATCTAATTAAAAATTCTGGCGATTTAGATAAAATGCTATAACTTTTGTATTTACACCTTTTACCTATCACCTGTAATTACGGCTGCAGGTGGGTGTCAAAATGTAGTGACTCACCCTGTACGTTATTTCTCCGAAACGCAAATTTCCCAACAGCTTTTTTTCAGAGGATAGATGTTTATGATACAAGTGGGGTAAGAACTTTATTAAGATAAGAGTGTAGCTTTTTTACAAAACGTCACAAATGCTTTTAAAGTGTTTGTGATACAATCGCAAACCTTCGTCGGTTGTCCAAAGTCAGAGTGGGTTAACGAAAGGTCACATTTCACACATTGATGATTAATGGTTTTTGGAATTCATTCATCCATTAAACATATGCATCATCGTATGATGTAAATCCTCTCTTACAATAAAGCAAGACTGCCGACAACGACAAAATTAATTAAAATAAAAATCATCCTTACCTTGTTATTGCTCTCCAAATAATTAAACAGTACGCTCACGCTGATCGTCAGATCGCCAACGTTGAACGGATAATTCCGATTCCAGCCCTGCGGACCGAATTTCCTGCGTTCGGCTACCACCGCGTGAAAATAGCAGAGGCCGAAAAGGATCACTTTGAATTCCGCCTCTTTCGAAGACATTTCCATTGTTTCCTGATTAAAATTGTCCAAAGCCTTGTGCAAATTGGCGTGCATCCCCGTCGGCGGTTCGTTAGTTATTTTAATCGACGACTCCAATATACCCTGAGGGATCACGCAGGAATGGGGATCGCCAGATGGTTCGGCGCTCAAGTATAATCTATAATTGTGATGACCTAAATATTGAACAATAGATTAAGAATTATCTCAGTGTCAGTGAAAAATAATTCTTACCTATCTCAGAGCATTGTTCCATCTTTTTTTCTAAAGTAGCCAACCATTTCATCACCAAATGAATATTTTGCAATATAACCCATTGACCTTTTTCCGCCGCTAAATCCATAGCGCCTTCCGCAACAACTTCCTGTCCTTGACCTAAAGATACGCTATGGAAGTTGGCCGCGTCAAACGTAAATCCTAATTTTTTGCCCATGGCTTCAACGTCTTTTAACGGATTAACTCCTGGTGATAAAATAAAGAAAACTGGCGTCGCTGCACTGGTTTCTTCGTAAGATTTTTCAAATGCCACACTCCTGGCTATTACATATTTGGTTCCCAGTTTTTCCTCAATATAAAGTGACACTGCGTATGTCATTCTGTCTGGCCGTAAGCACCTCATGATACACAATCGTTGCAAAGTTGTCTTATTTTTCCATTCTCCAGGAAATTTTTCCTTTTCCGGGCATTCGCTTTCCACAAACTTACGCCACCTTTTAGCCGATCCTTCCAAGTCTTTATCGATACTCTTGAATTCGTCCATTAAAGATAAAGCCTTGATACCGCCCCACGATATATTATTCAAAAAATCCACTGGCGACGATAAGTTAGCTATGACAGGAAATCTCAATAAGAAATCCAATTCTTCGGCATTTATTTCGCCCAATTGAATAAATATTTGAAAAGCCATTTGTGCCATGAATATTAACTTGTCGCACTCAAATAGCCCCCTAGATGTATACATATATACCGAAAATGTGATATTATCCAGCAAATTAAATACTCTGTCTTTCAGTTTTTCAGCCGGTGTGGCTTTTTTTAAAGCATCTTTAAAAACCACACTAAAAGCCTTCAAAGAAAATTGATAAATCATATTAATCCTAAACAAATCGTTCAAGATAAAATACAAAAGTGAGGCTCTCGCAGCACAAGGCCTATAATGCTCTCGAGCTTCATCAATTTTTACAGAAGTTATTTTAGCTTCCTCAACCTTGACAGCAATTTCATTGGCAGTCTTTTTGGTAGTTTCCAAATTCAATACCAATTCGACATCGCCCAAAATATTACCAGTCGCCGATGACAATCTATAGAGCAAATTATCTTCACAAGTCTTCAACGTAATCTTAAAATCGTTTTGCTGTTTAGTCAATGAAGACTTTAGAGCTTCCAAATCGGGACGTTCAGCTTTGACAACTTCAGCTAGTAATTGTTCTTCTAAACCATCACGAGTGACAGTGAAATTAATTAAAGTCGTTTGCGCTTGAATTTCGGGCTTATAATGAGGATTTGCCAGTTTTGTATGCAATATTAGTCGAAATTTTGGATCATAATCCACTTCCTTATCTCCAATTTTAATAACTTTGCCTTTTTTAATCAAAACTCTTCCCAAAACTGGATCCAATACCGCATCCAAAGTCTCTCCAATATTTTCTATTAAAATAATTGTGCCTTTAGTAATACAATCCTCAATCGCATCTAAATAAGTTCTCTGTGTAGTCCTTACTACTTTTAAATCATCTCCATATTTAGTTTTAATCCACTTAACTCCTTGAAGTTGTGGATCAATCATTAAAGGCCATCTACTCGAATTAGTTAATATGCTAGCATTTTCCGCAGACATTCTGTCAGTCGGCAATCCTTCATTATTCCATTGAGCAATCTTTGCATCGTCTGCCAATAAAGTCATAGGATCCAAGTCTGGAGTCATCGGAATTGGTATTTCTAAAGTTTTGAAAAAAGGCCTCCAATACTTTTCCAACATATCGGTTCGATATTTTTTCATGAAACATCCTAAATACGACAAAAATGCTGTTACGAGTAAAATATCTCCTGGTACTGTATTGATGGATGCAGTGTAGTCTTTGATAAGTTGCCTCCAACGGATATTCTCTGAAGCTAAGCCGTTTACAAGCCTATTGGCTAAGTCAATCATTTGAGCAGTAGCATCAGCTTCAGCTTGACATTTGAGTTTAGCATTGGTGGCTTCCTCAAACTCAGCTCTTAAAACCCCTAGCTGCTGTTCTAATAAATCTAGTTTTACTTTAAGTTCAGCCAATTTTCCTCTAGCTTCGGATAGTTCTCTGTTAGCTGCGGCCAAAGCTTTTCTTTTGGGTTCAACCACAACAAACACCTCGTAGAATTTGAGAATATTTATAACCCAAGCGCAAAGACCAGCAGCTGCAGCTGATTTAGTCATGACTTTTTCAGCATTAAATTCGGGATCTTTCAAATATTCCAATGTTGCTTTGACAACTTCCGCTTGCATATTTTCTTTGTCATAATAAATCAGATCGTTTAAAAATTGATCGACTTTGTTCATCATAATTTTGCACTCTTTCCAGCTTCTATCTTTGGGGATTTTTCCTTTTTTGGAAAATAATACTAAAACTGCTGCGCATACAGCTACAACTGCTTCGGGAGGACTACCGAATGATTTTAATTCGGTCAGATTGTTTTTATTCAATGTGTTTAAAGCTTGCTGAGCGGCTACTAGGGCAGGTTCGGCTTTAGCTAAGTCCTCAGCGCAAATTTTTGCTTTAACTGACACGTCCTCTTCGATGAGACGAACTTTGCCTTCTTCGTCACTGGCAATCGCTTGTTCTTTAGCCACTTTTTCATTTTCAACTGTCAACACGTCAATTAGAGCAGTAGCTGCAGCATTTTTTTCACCTAATTCGACTTCTTGGACTGCCAAAACATCTTTAAGTCCATCGACTTCTTCTGAGGTAGATGCCAATTTGGTCAAGCCGTTTTGCAATCTTGTAATATTACTATGAATACTTTCAGTTTTGTCTGTTAATAGTTTGCGATATAAATCGATTTGTTCCAAAAACGATTTCGGTGTTGTGTAGTTGTAGCGTTTTTCGTTTAGCAAATAAATTTCCGAAAAATTATTTACAACACCGTGTGCGTAGGACATAAATAGTGATACAGAATTGATTAGTTTGGGTGGCAAAACCTCAATTTCGGCCAAAAACCTTTTCGATACGGATTCTAAAGCTTCTTTAGGCCAGTCATGGAACCAATCTAATGAGGAGCAATTCACGAGAGCTGGAAATTTCCTGGCACGCACCCGCAAAGTAGAGCCGACAGGTGAAAAACATAAAACAATTTTCAAAAGCCTTCTGACTCTGTCGATGAAAAATTTCCAGCAATTTTCTCTGGTGTCTTGTAAACCAATACTTTTTACTTCACCACGCATGGCGCTTAAAACATTTTCAACATCTTCATCTGCTAGAAGTTCGCTTATTTCACCAGAAGCCAACACGTCATTGATCAAAACTAAATAAGATTCATCAGGTACTTGAGCGTCAGTCATCAGGAAAACAATACCCACACTTTTCAAGCCAACTTTCATGTACAAAGTAGCAATGTCAGCTTTCATGTCGACCATAGAATAGCCTTTTTTCAATTGAATTTGGAATACTTCGAATGAGGAAATGAAGGCAGCTAATCTCGTTAAAGATTGTTTACCAAAACCTCCAACTCCTACTAGTAATGCGTTGCCTCTAGGGGCTTCCAAAATACGGTTTATTCTACAAACATGATACATGGCGTCTTCAAAGAGTACCAAATTCATTGCTGCTACTAGATCGTTGTAGCCGTTGAGAGCTTCGTGGAGTAAGTGACTTAAATGATTGAAATCGGTTATTGGAAAATATTTCGGATCTCCAATACCTTCCGCAAAATGACAGTAAATTAGAGGTTTTTCAAAAACAACATTCTCGTCGATTTCTTCAAAACCTTTTTTAACCCCTTCAATTATTAATTTATTAAAAGTATCCATATCACGTCTTTCAACCAGTTTATCTCCATAAACCCTATTTGCTTCGTGCATCCACAATCTTATCAATAAGGATTGGTTTGTTATAGCGGCACCTGTTGTGAATAACATGCCTTGGAATATGTTGGATAAATCCCTTAGGGTAAACGTATAATGAAACTTCACTGCGGTTGGTAAAAATGATTGTCCAACTTTGACGTGGAGCCAAAAAGCAGCTTGCACTAACGTTGGACATAATTTCTGGACTGCCGTATTGAATTTGAAATGTGGATTGTCTAGATGTTGTTGGAATATTGAGTTGTAAATGTGCAAACAATTTTCTTCTGAAGGAAAACTGACAGCGAATACGCAAAAGTGCCTTTGAAGTCTTGGATCTATTGTGAAGGATCCTGCGGTTGGATTCATTGCTGATATAAATTGGACATTGTGGATTTCTTTCAAGGTCAATTTTTGCCTGTCGTACCAATGTTGATAGTCCATATATTGTTTTAATAATGTATGAGGCTGAACAGTGAAATATTTGTCAACTTCGGGCATATTCATATCGTCGATGAAGTAAATCATGGTTTTATTGCCTGGAGGGCCATACACTTTTCCAGCCTTTTTTTCCAAAGGTTTTTCAAGTATTTTTTGCAACATTTCTGATGTTGTATAAAAATTGAATGGCACATTTGTCACTGCATAACTTTCTGTTAAATTATTTAGCTTTTCTTGAATTATAACTGATTTTCCACTGCCTGCTGGACCAACTAGCATAACAGGTACTCTCATAGACATTAACAAATCGGCGAAAAATCGAATTCTACTAGTTTCAGCTGTGTTAACCAAAGTAGATTGTAGAGGAATGTCCATATCAAGTTCAAAATCTGGTACCAGTTCATTCCATGGAACAAACCGTTTAGTTTCTGCTTCGATATAATATTGGAATACGTTGCCTCCTATAGGGAATTTAACCGTTTTAAATTCGTTAGTGAACCATTTACTGAATTCATTTCTCCAATCGATAATTTGATCTTGAAACAAGGCCGAACCGAATGCCCAAACCACCGAAAACACAAAGTAAATTTCGTACCATTCTTTCGGACAATCTGGCGGGACATTTTGAGGCGTCAAAAAGCAATCCAGCAAACTCACCAGCATCATTAAATGTGCTATATCGGAAATGGGAGTGATTTTTTTCACTTTTTTATGGACAACCTCCAAGCAAGGCGGCACGTATTTGTCAAACAATATCATCAAGTTGGCTTTTTCGCTTTGTATGGTTCGAGTATCGATCCACGAGGCTATGAACGGGTTCCAGCCCAGATCGGCCGGATTTATGTATAAAATTCCAGCTCTGGAAACGGTTGCCGGCGTAGCTGTTCGTAGATTGGCTATTTCGAATAGTAATCTCATCGCACGAGTTAAGGCTATACGCTCGTTACTAGCAAGAGTCAGGACCTGAAAGAAAATTGATTTGTTTCATTGTATACTTTTTTCATATGATTAGTTTGAGTACGTGATGTTATTGTCCAAGAACCAGCAACGCTTTGTTGCCCCTGGTTGAAAAGCTACCTACGTTTTTTCTTGTTCTAAAATTATTCGTTAGCTGTTTGAAATATTGGATTCATTCAGGCGGTGCCAGCGGCTAAGTTCAGTCACTCAGCAGGGACTTTATTCTCGAAATAGAAGAGCAGCGTTCTCATGAGAACGAAGGTTTTGTCTTCGTCGTCCGTATTCATATTTCCATAACACTGACAAGGACTGAGCAATTCCTCGGTTTCGAGAATAAAGTCCCTGCTGAGTGGCTGAGCTTAACCGCTGGCACCGCCTGAATGTACCCATTGTTTTACTAACAAAATTGAAAATGGTACTATTAACGATCATTAGGTGTTTCTCCTTGGCCGGCTATCTGAACAAGAACAAGGACTCCTGGCACTAAATGATGCTAAAAATCCGAAATATATATATATAAATCAATATTTGTTTGCTTGCTTGCTTGCTGGGTTTCCGCCTATGCGCTCCTACACCACTTATCCGATTACGATGAAACTTTGGTAGGTTGTTATGGCCATCCCAAGAAAGGTTTGTGGATAAATAACGCATCTCGGAAAAAAAATTAATTTTGGATTAATTATTAATTTAATTGTAAACAAACCCATTCACATTACATCATAACAACATAACCCAACTTTTTTTTGACAGCATGAAACAATGTTGTCACATTTAATTTATTTAGGCTTGCCATTCAACCGACGTAACTTTATTATTTTTTGAATTCGAGAACGGCTGGACCGATCTTGAATTTAATACCACGTATCTCTATATAAGCCGAATTCGATTGACCTAGATTAGATCGATTTGGGTTCAATTCTTCTGGTTTAGATCATTTTTTTGTTGATGAAGATGCACTGATCCAACCTCAATCGAACACAGTGTGGTTCACTTAAATTGAACCAAATCGATCTAATCCGGTCGGCTATAGAGGGGAGTGATATAGGCTATTTTTTATCCCGAAAAAAAAGTTCAGTTGCGCGAAACTCTGATACACTGGAACGCCTATAAACAGCCCGGGGCGTTCTAGAGCAGCCCTGGAGTGCTTCTTAACCCAAAAGTAGATAAAATAGGTAAATTTCATATTATTGCTATGAATCATACTTTTTTAATTAAATTATAATGATTTAATAAAATACCGTATCATAAAGATCCAATAACTCTGCCTATAATCCCCCCTATAAAAATTATTAGTAAAGTTAATAATTTTATATACACAGGTGAAATAATAAAATAAGGGACTGGAAATAAACTGAACTCACTGGCAAGCGACTCTAGTTTGACCTGAATTTAATTCAGCTACTAGATACGTTAACACAACATTTAATAGGTATTTAACTCGGAGATATTTAATAATTCAGAGGCGGTACGAAGTTCCGCCGGGTCAGCTAGTTTGAAATAAAACACACGAATTAATTTTCTAATTGTGTTGCCGAACTTTTTGATGTGAAAGTCAGTTTTATTATTGAAACTTGTAAAACAAAAAACTGAAACTCAAACAAAATGTCCAACGTAGGTAACGTCAAGTTCGCTGCGAGCTTCTGCCTCGAGCGAGTTCCTCTCTTTCTCTCCAAAGACGCGCGAAGCGGCATCTGGTGTACCGTACCATTATTATGATTTTTGAAGAGCAGGATGTACACCGTCGAAACGAAATAAAACAACAGTTGTGTATTTCGGTGTAAATTATTTTGCTTCTTAAGTTTTGCCTGTCACAAGACTTTTTCATTTTTAATGACAAGTTCTATAGCCAAACATTAGGCCTTGCCATGGGTAACCCACTTTCACCACTCTTAGCTGACTTGTTTCTGGACAAATTAGAGAAAAATGCCGTCCCTTTACTACTTAATGAAAACAAAATATTGAATTGGTTTAGGTATGTTGACGATTGTTTTGCAATAGTTATTTGTGATCCTTTGCAAGTCTTGAACTCTCTCAACAACTTGCATCCATCCATTTTATTCACTTCAGAATCGGAAACCAACAGCAGCATCAACTTTCTAGATATCACCATTACAAAAAAGGACAACTGTCCATCCTTCAAAATATTTCGTAAAAATACACAAACAGATCACATCATCCCTTACCATTCCAACCATCCCCTTATCCACAAAATGGCTTCTTTCAACTGCTATATTAATCGTTTATTAAATATCCCTATGTCTCCTGAAGACATAAAAAATGAAACTAACATCATTAAACAAATTGCTTTTAACAATGGGTATGACCCGAATATAGTAGATAAACAAATTGCCAAAATTAAAACAAAAAGAGAAGCAATCCAAGCTTACAAGAGTCAACCCCAAAATCCCTCAACTAATAAATATGTTTCCCTTCCTTACCTTGGCCCTTTTTCCTATAAAATATCCAGGATACTAAGCGGTTCTCAAAACAATATCAAACTGTCTTTTAAGAGCACTAATTCATTAGGTTCCATTCTAATCAACAACAAGCAAACCATAGTCCATACCCAAAAAAGTGGAGTTTACAAACTCAAATGCTCAGATTGTCCTGCCACATATATTGGTAAAACCATTCGACCTCTTTCAACTCGCATAAAAGAGCATATCAATAGACCACGACACTCTGCGTTTGGTCACCACCTTAACTTCACGAAACATAATTTCTCCCCTTATGAGGACAGCAAAATAATTTTTCCACAGAGGTCAAACAACCCTAAATCTCTAGATTATAGAGAGGACCTTGAAATTGCCAGAGAAGTTAAAAACAACCCCACCCATTGCCTTAACATAAGGACCAATGAAACCAACCTCAGAAGTCCTACCTTCAAATTCTTTGCTGATAATACCTACCCATCCACTTCTACACAAACCTAGTCAATTTTCAATTTAAAAATTTCTTAGACAAACCCAGTCAATTATAGATCATACATCAAAATAATAATAAATTTTTTACGTATACATGCGATGATGGTTCTGGGGTTTTTTACATCGATAAATAATATTTGTTGCATTCCAAAAGACAACGTACTTTTATTAAGAGCGTACCATCCTCTTTTTTAAATTTTTTAAAATTACCATTTGTTCATCTTTTGTGTCTGTTTGTTTTATATACAAGAATTTTAAAGCGTGTTTTAATATTATTTAAGTCTCCGTTGTAATGTATCATTATTTGGTGTTTTGTTTTTTAATGTCCTATGTTGAGTCACGATTTCTATGACGAGTAAGTACTTAAGAACCAATTTTATTATAAAGACAATTAAACATGTACACTTTGCTTGTTATAGGGCGGCTCTGAAGATGGTCTAATAAGACCGAAAGCGCTCAGCCAATTTTATTAAATTTACACCGAAATACACAACTGTTGTTTTATTATTATGATTGTTAACGCAGAGGCGGTGTAAATTCACGGGTTTCTTAACACCTAACACCCCTCCTGCTGGGAACATGTCTCGGCATCAAAGTTTGGCGTGTTTATTACTACAAAACAACAACAATAAGTACATTTGAAAACGAAAAATAAATACACTTTTATTGGTTAATTGCTTCAGTTCATCCGTCTGGCAGACTGTAAATGTTGATGCAGTTGATTTGTGGTGGTTGGTTGCCTCAGTTCATCCATCTGGCAGGCTGTGAATGTTGATGCAGTTGATTTGTGGTGGTTGATTGCCTCAGTTCATCCGTCTGAGTGCAATTTATTGCAACTTATTCACAAATGTAGTCTTGCAAATATGCAGGAAGTTTCCATGTTCGTATTTTGTTCATTCTAGTTTGGGGTTGAGTTTGAGTGGTATCAGGCACTGATGATATAAAGCCTTCATCATTTCCAGAGTGACAGTCTTTCTCAAGTTCATCTAAGGATATAAGGAATTCTTCTATTTCTTTTCCTAGATGTCCTTCTTGGCCATGAAATTTGTCATTATCGGGAAAGTATTCAGTGTTGAACTCATTATTATTGAGCTGCCAATTGTCATCTTCGTAGTCGTCGTCGTCTTCTTTAGAGTCAAGGTTTGATATTTCATAACTTAGTGGTTGCTTTTCTGGAAGAAGGCGTAAGTAGTCAATGTGAACCTTGACGTCTGAATCGTTTCATCCTATTCTATAATAGAGTCCGATAAAACTTCTAAAACTTCATAAGGTCCCTCCCAAGCTAGACCAAATGCATCATTCTTGAAGCATGTTTGAATCTTCTACTTGAAAGCAATTTGGTTTCTTCTTCCTTCCAACATATTTTTTTCTGGTACTGGATTTGGTTCTCTCTCATTTTGGTAGCCTTTTCTTCTCTTACATGGCCGTGATTGACCACAGGAACTTTGAACACAGAGTGATTTCTTCCTCCTGGTGATGGAAGGGAGTATCCCAGAAGGGCTTGTGCGGGAGATTGTCCTGTTGCTGCATTGGTACGGTTCCTTAAACGCGGGGCACATACTTGGGCCAGTGCTCTATGCTTTCATTAAACAAAAATGCTCTAGTCTTTTTTATTTCTTGATTATTGTGGACTTTTTAAGATGATCCTAAAAAGAAATTTGGAAGGTGAGAATTCGTGAAAATTTTACAGTTACAGTTGAAGCAATTTCAAGTAGATGGCGCCACGGCAAAAAAACTACATTAGTAGCATCATTATTGTATATTTGTCTTTCTCTTTAGGGCCCCACAGACTGCGTTTTTGTTGGACGGATTTGTTCGACGAGTAAATCTGGTCGAGCAAAAACGACGCAAAACCGAAGTGTGTGTGCGAGAAATTGTCGTTTTTGCTAGCATACAAAACCGATGCAAATATCTGGCTTCGCCTGATTTTGTCCGTCGGATATGTTCGATATGTCAACAAATCTGAAGTGTGTGGGCCACGAACTTTAAAAACGACGGTTTTGTTTGTTGTGTGGTGCGTAGCTCGTAATTTTACATTATTGAAATTAAAAAATAAAATAAAAGCTTTCCAACATGACTGATGTTCGCCAAACTAAACCGAGGTCTGTGTGCAACTGCGATCTGTCGTTTTTGCTCGACCAGATTTGCTCGTCGAACAAAACCGTCAAACAAAAACGCAGTCTGTGGGGGCCTTTTCACTAAGTGTTTCACCGACAGATTTTGTTTTGAACAAAAATAAAATATTGAACCGTATGTGTAGACTGGCGCATTCGTCATTTTTAAAAATTAAATTTAAACATGGCGGCCTTAAATTTTTAAAAAATTGAGGTTAAGGTACCTTTTGTTTTTATTATATATTTTTTCTACAAACGTGTTAAAAATGCAATTTTTAACACCGCCCCGAAGCATTAAAAATGTTACTTTATCGCACTAGTGCCATAAAGTCTTTATAGCACTAGTGTTAAAAGTGAAACATCAAATTTTGAGAGCGGACGTCAAAAAAAGTTTGTATTTTCAGTTATTTACATTGATAATAATGGTGAAATTTGAACAACTGAGGTAGCCCGATTGGCCGCCTCATCTATATTTTTCGAAGGATCGATGCACCTCTCTTTTTCTTCTGTATTTTGTTGCATTTTTAGCAAAAAGCATTCCTGACCACGACATACTTTCAAGAAACTGACAAGACATTTCGTTACCTGTAAAACAAGGTGCTGGTTGTATGGATTTTTTGACAAATGTCAAATTCAAGAATTTTATGTAGGAAAAATGTTTCCAATTTATTATTCATTTAAAAATCCAATTTGTTAGTGGTTATTGCTTTTTATTGCCGTTTGTAGAAAAAATATTGTATGATATTTGTGTTAAAAGTATTTTTAAGGCACTTATGTGAATTGCAGAATTCGCTTCGCTCATTCTGCAAACTTTCACATGCGTGCCTTAAAAATGTACTTTTAACACTTATATCATAAATAACTATTATATTACGCATGCATCATAATCAACGATTATCGCACGCTGCAGCGTGCATAAAATGATGTTTATGATGCGCCTACCTTTTCAAACTTTTGCTATAGAAACGTTTGATCTACCTTCATTACCTAGATATACACCTGCCGTTGAAATTACTATTCATCAAAATGAATGAACACATTTAAAACATTTTTGAGATTATGATGCATTTGTAATATAAAATAGCGTATGATATGCGTGTATAAGAGGCCTTGCGACTTGCAAAACACTCCGCTGCGCGTCGTGTTTTGAAATATGTCGCGCGTGCTTTAAAGGCCCTCTTATACACTTATATCATAATATACTATTAATTTTTTAATTAGGTATATAATTTATGATCAAAATTTTTCGGGATTCTGGAGGTATGATATGAGGGGTGGTCCTGAATAATTCACTGTTATTCAACTTACCTTATAAACACGTTGGGCGCCATATTAACAATTATTAGGTGTCTCGCGTTTGCCGGCTAGCTGAAAAACAAGAACAAAGACTCCTGGCACTTAAAAATCCGAACAATTTGAAATAAAACACACGAATTACTTTTCTAATTGTGTTGCCGAACTTTTTGATGTGAAAACCCAGTTTTATTGTTGAAACTTGTAGAAAAAGAACTGAAACACAAACAAAATATCCAACGCAACGTTAAGTTTGCTGCAAGCTTCTGCCTCGGGCGAGTCCCTCTCTTTCTCTCCAAAGATGCGCGAAGCGGCATCTGGCGTACCGTACCATTATTATGGTTGTCAACGCAGGGTTCTTTAACACCTATCTATAACAGTACCTAGCTTCTGTAGCTGTGATCAGGGCAGATATACATTGCTGGCACTTAGACCAATACTTGGAACAAAATTTTCACTTACCTTGTTATCATCCATAAGAGTATTTAATGATTCAATCCACATAGGGTCAATATCACCGTCCAGCACAATCCATTTTGGTCCATCTCCACTTAAATTAGCTTGATCCCTCATTATCACTGAAAATAATCCATCTTTCCACTCTCTCGTTGCAGGATTGATGACTCCAAATAGTTCATCATTGGTAACTGCTTTGGGATTCAGATCACTATACAACGGTTTCAGTTTTTGATTGGCATAAGTTCGATTTAAGCATTTCCACACCATTGACTTGCCAGTGCCAGCAAATCCGATAATAAACACCGAATGTCTTACGGCAAACAGTTCTTCTAGCTGCACCACTTTAAGAATAAAGCCTTCTTCTTGTTGAAGTTTCATTTCGGATGCGGTCTTTTTTATCATTTTTTCAAACTCCAAATTACGCTTCCTTGGTACGTCCAGGGCTGGAAATAGATCACCAATAAGCCCCATAAACACTGGCGTATCATCCGTTATAATTTTCGGTATATTAAAATCTCTCAAAGCCCTCATTAGTACTTGGTCTTCTGGTCGTTGCTTGTCGCCTCTCTTCAGTGCGCCCGCCACTACCAAGACAGACTTAATAGCACGCAAACCCCAATCGTAATGGTCTTGTTTACTCAATAGCTCTCTACACAATGTGTATAAGGTAATAAACTTTCTGGCTAAAAGTCTGGCTTCTTGAAAACCTTCGGCTACCAACATGATTTCGCAAATCAGGGCAAAATCTGGAACGACCATAGCGCACGGTCGGAATAAGGCTTTCAGATTTTCTGGAAGTTCGGTACGACCGGCGTAACCAGGATTCATGGTTATAAAAAGACCAACCTAAAATGGTAAACGTCTCAGGTTTTTCAACAGAATTTAATATCAAAATAGGGTTGTTATTGTTGGTTGATATAAAACCCCAATTTCACAATGTACCATTTTTAAATTGAAGATTAGAAAAATGTTTCATCATCATCAACAATAAATATTTAGGTCGAGAAAATTTATTGGGTTAAAACTAAATACATATTGCCTAAACCAAATATTTAACTTACCGAGGGTATTAGCCCGACATCCTGTCCCAAAAACAGGAAGCGCGTTTTCTTATCTTTGATCGCGTCCTGTATAAGTTTGACTTGGACAGCTACCACTGACAATACTTCCACTGATATCCTGTTAAACTCGTCGAAACAACCCCAACATCCAGTTTGGGCCAAACCCTATACATATACGGATAATGAATTATAAATATTGGTTTTAGATTATTGGGCGAATATAAATTGACTATGTTTGAATCGGATGGATTATTATTAATCATTCGAAACTGATTTTGTTTCAAAAAGAAAATAATGTTAATACTGGCCGTACTAATATTGCTGAGAGGCTTATGCGAAATTAGGGCGATGAAAGCCATCCAAGCTCATTTTGGAGAAACTTGTGCAAGTGCGGTTTAAATTGAAATCCCTGTAGAACTGTTAAAGTTTTAATCTCTTGAGAAAACTTTCGGTATACAGTAATTTGGAAAACAGTTTATTGTGTGCTAAGTATAAGTGAATATAATTTCCCTTGACAAATTCCGATCGTTATACACTTGACTGAGTCGAGAAACATTTTGAAATAAAGATTATATTAAAAGACTTTATAACTGCTTGTGCTCTTGTTAAACTTTGGTCCGGATGCGCTGTAAACTTAGGAAGAAGTCATCAGATAATAAAGATTGTAACAGTTATTGATTCGTTTTGGAATGTAGGTATTCTGTAGTCTTATGAGGACTCCTATAATGCACTCATTATTTTGAAAACTTAATGAAAAGCTCTAAAGTCAAAGCATATTAGACTAGAAACTGCGCAAATATAATTTAAAAACAGATAATGTAAACACAGTAAAATCTGGTTATTCAAGCGGAACTCAATATTCGCGTCTGCACAAATCCTAAATGTCCGTTTTCGATTCAGGCCAAACATAGAACGTATTTAACTTGACGCCGAACCCTTTTATATACATATAACCAACGATAGAACTCCAAGTACCTATGTGTCGTAGGTATAGGAAACGATTCTGTTTATAGAAATATATAACCTCGCTCCGAGCTAGTCGTCTTATAGAGACATATCAAATATTTGGAAAGCGCTTCTCAAGCAAAACAAACACCCTCAGGTTTATAGTCCCTCTCTCCTTTCTTGACAACCGTCGGCAGGAAATTAACGCAAAGTCGAACAAAACTAGGATTTTGTAATGATACAAGTACTTGCCTTGTAAATATTTCCAATAGATTTATAGTCCATTTGCTCGGAACAGTTAAACACGTAAACCATCATTCCAAGGGCTTTGCCCAAATCCTTTGTAGTTTCAGTTTTGCCAGTCCCTGCGGGACCTGCAGGCGCACCGCCCATGATCAAATGCAAACTTTGAGTTAAAGTTATATAACATCTAAAAAAAAATTTAAGATGCTTTTTTCCATAAAACAAAATGGTAATCGTATCCTATGATATTGTGGATTAAATACAGTAGTGCTACTAACCTGTCAGTTAACGGTGTAATAACCAGCCTAGGAGTATTGCCCAAATATTCATAAGAATACCTAAATTGAGCGTCACAAATATTAGCGAAACAATCTTTTTCTCTGTCGTCCCAACGATGTCTCAATTGACTTTGCCACTGAAACGCTTGCGAATTCTCCACCTAATTTTCAAGAAAATTGATGTACTCCTCGAATAAGTTGAAATTTATCGACTCTACCTTTATGACGATCATTTTAGCCACCACATCTCGAGAGTGTACATCGATCGTGCAAATGGTCATGATTTTTTGTCGCTCGCCGGCAGTCAGATCGCCGAGCAACAGGTTGATGAGGGCGACCAACTGGTTAATTTGTTTCTTTTGATAGTCTTTGAGTGCATTTTCGTAGCCCTCTTCTAAACGGGCGAATGCCATATTTACTTCGGTTGTCCACCAGATTTGTGTTCCTATATAATAGTTTTATTTAGGAAAATTCAATAAGTTTGCAAAAATTAATGATAGGCGAGTCTCCAAAGAGATTTATTTTGTAAACAAAAAACAAGATAAGGAATGGTCAAATATTGATTTAATGAATATGTGTCTTGTAACTCTTTGTCAATTATTTTAGAAAAAACTTGTAATAAGTATCCAAACAGGTCTGTAATGGCTTGGATTATCTGCGTCCAAGTAGTTACTATATGTTGTATGTCTTGTTGCATGTCCAACATGACGAACATGAAAATTATGTGACAGTATCAGTCAAGAAACGAATAGAATTACCCAAGAAGCAAGAGAGCCGTTACGAACACACGCAGACGTAAATCAAAAACTCAAACATAAAAAGTGTTTCAATTGCAAAGACTATGGACATATGTTTAGGGACTGTCCCAAGCCTAAAAAGGAGTGCTCAATTTGTAAACAGGTAGGGAATTTATCCTCAAATTGTTACAAGATCAGGCCAAGTACTTCACATAAAGCGCTAATGTGCGAAACCAAACCTGATTCAAAGTCAGACGGTTATTATGTGACTTGTGAAGTAAACGGACATAGTTTGAATGGTTTTATTGATTCTGGATGCGAGGTCGTATTAATTCGTGAATCGGATGCAAAAACTGTTGGCCTTACTTGGTCCCCTTGCACTGTTACTCTAAATGGATAATGAAGGGCAATTACAAAGGTTTTGGGCAATGTCAAAACCAATCTAAGAGTAGATTTTTTGGAAGTTGAAATTTATGTCTTTATTGTTCCCAATCAATCGCAGAATATGTCAGTTTTAATTGGTAGGTCAGTATTGAAGAAAAGTGATGCGATAAAAGTAGTTGGCAAAGGAACTGTTAGACTTTTCAGCAGTGGTTCAACTGACTTATCAAAAATTGATGAACTTATTCCACCTAAAAAGATAGTTTTGATGTTTCCACTAAAATTTACCCAAACCACATAGGATTGGTGAGTTGTATGATGGAGATGCCCATATGTGTCATATCTTCAGGAGATTTGAAAATTCCAATTTTAAATGTTTCAAAAGATGTGATCTGTTTTGGACCAAAAAGGGAATATGCAAGAGGTGTTCCTTTCGCTCCTGATGACGAAAATGTAAGTACCTGTTCAAAAGTAAATATTTGTAATTTGGAAAAATTTTCCTCAAATGATTTAACCACTTGTTTGTCAGAAAAGTTATCTAGAACCGATTTAAATAATCTTGTATTATTGTTAAACAAAGTATCGCGATTGTTTTGCGGAAAATTTGAAAGAACTAGGTCACATTGGATCCGAGGAAATGGAAATTCGTTTAAATTGTGAAAATCCTGTGAAATATAGACCATATAGACTTTCTGTGCATGAAAGGGAGAAGGTGCGCAAAATAGTTAATGAACTACTGTCAGCCGATATTATACGAGTCCAGATGGCCTTATTCAAGTCCAATTGTATTGGTTAAGAAGAAAACTGGTGAAACACGCATATGCGTTTATGCGTATATTACCGCGCTGTTAACGCAAAAACAATGAAAGGCTGCTATCTTTTACCAAGAGTGGACGACCATTTAGAGATTTTAAAGGGATGCAAGTATTTTCCGACCTTGGACTCTTGGAAATCGCGAGCGGTTACCACCAAATACCAATGGCGGAGAACTCCCGAGAAAAACAGGATTCGTAACTCCTGATGGTCACTATGAATATTTAAGGATGCCGTTTGGATTAGTCAATGCTCCAGCGGTGTTTCAACGGACGATTAACCAGATCCTAGGCTCCATGAGATTTTTTACTGCCTTAGCATACATGGATGACATCTTGGTTCCTTCTCCTAGTGTTGCGTCTGGGTTGGTTGCTCTTGGGGATGTATTTGAAACCTTCCGAAATGCAGGTGTCACTTTGCGACTGTCAAAATGTAATTTCTTTAAGGAGCAAATTGATTATTTGGGACATGAGATTAGTGCTGCCGGTATCCGACCCGGTACTTCGAAAATTTCTGCAGTAGAGAAATTTCCTGTTTCAAAAAATGTGCATCAGATTTGACAATTCATCGGTCTATGCAGCTATTTCAGGAAATATGTGAGAGTTTTTGCACAAATTGCCCGCCCTTTGACCTCCCTTACCAAAAATGATGTACAATTACAATTTGACCGGGGTATAGAGCGGGATGGTGCTTTTGCGAAACTTAGAGGAGTTTTGATCAAGAGACCTATGCTTCGTAAATTGGGCTTGGTGGAATTTTGTTACAAAAACTGGAAGATGGCAACCTAAAGCCAGTATTTATCTTCAGCCGACAGACTGCAAAGGAACACGAAAAGTATCACTCGTACGAACTCGAAACGTTAGCAGTGGTTTGCTCGTTACAGAGGTTCCGAGTATACCTATTAGGGCTATCGTTCAAAGTAATAATTGACTGTAGTGCCTTGAGAACTACAATGTCAAAGCATGATGTGATTCCGCGCATTGCACGGTGGTGGCTTTCCATCCAAGAATTCAATTTCAGTGTAGAGTATCGGCAAGGATCAAAAATGTCACATGTGGATGCATTGAGCCGAAACCCAATTGCAGAAGCCTATGAAAGATTAGAAATTATTGATATTTTTCAAGTAGATATCACACAAGATGATTGGGTGTTATCAGCGCAACTGAAAGATAGCACATGCCAGGAGTTGATTGAAATATTGTTGAGGAAACCAGTAAACAGTGACGAAAAACAGGTTCACAAAGATTATTCGCTGAAAGACAATAAACCTTATCGGAAAACATCTGATGGTTTACGATGGTACGTTCCCAAGGCGGGCAGACGCGTAGTGACAATGTGCCATCATGACAATGTGGGCCATTTTGCGACCG